TGTTTACTGTTATATCAGCGATTAAGTATTACATGCCAGTTACTCATGGGAAAAATCTGAGTTTCTGACTTTAAGCCATGCTAAAACAAATTTTGAAATAGAAATCAGGGTCAAATGTAAGCAATTGCTTACTCTTGTAATTGAGAGAAGGGAAGAAGAAAAGTAGCTGAATTCAGACAGAACAAAACAGAGACCTCTCACTTAGTCTCCCATGTTGCATCATGCTGAGCTCACAGTGGTTGAAATTAAGGTATTTTAGAAACACACTCAGAGAACCCATGCTCCCAGCAGTTGTTCACCAAATTTCATATTTTAAGTATCTAAAAAGTATCCCATTGCCTTCTGGAGTTTTGTTTTTTTTTTTTTTTTAAGATTAACTCTGAAGTTTTATTTTCCTTTTTCTCTCCAATTAATGGTCATTTGATTGAGATCAAATGGTTTTCCACGAAAAACCATTTGGTATATCATTCCTTTAGATAACTACAATAACCAGGAATACTTAATATATAATTCAGTATGACACTAGACTGTCATGAATGGCAAGAGGTACTTATGAAATTAATAACAATGATGAGTGTACATATGGAAATTATTGAACCTTGAACCTTTAATGTAGTACAGGACAGTTCCTGGTCCAGAGCTGGCATTTGATATTGTATTTCTTGAATAAATGGAAAAATAATAGTGTAACCAAGTCATATGTGAACATGTTTTTTGTAAAAAAAAAAAAAAGTCAATTCTTAGATAGTTGTGAAACATATATCCTTTATATTTAACTTATTTCTTGGTCCATCAGTGTATACATTTGCACACATGCACAAACAATTTTACATATATACTATATATATTATGTGTATATACACATATATATTTGGATTTCAGGTTTATGCTGAGTGTGATATATATATTGTACTTAGTATATGGTGTGTGTGTTTATATATGTGTATGTATATATACATATATATGTATATTGCGCCCAGTATAAACCTGAAATCCTTTTATCTTTTAACTTATTACCATTTGGATATCAAAGTGACTACTTACTGTGCTGTTATTGTTTCCCATCAGATAAGACACTATGATTAGGAAAATAGAGTTGATCCATTATAGTACTATCCACCAGTGCTATTAGCCAACTTGCTGCCGTTCTCATAAAAATTACGCAATTTAAACTGGAAGATACCAGTACCTGCTTCTATTAGAAACAAGAACCCTTTTCTACTTCATAATATGCTCAATTACCTTTAGATTGATCCATGAATAAATTATAATCCAAATAGACTTCTTTACCTTAAAGCTTTGCTGGCTTAAGATACCATTGTTGATTCATTATGTTGTCACTTTTCTATCGGCAATGTAATGCTTTTTATATCTGGATAGAGACAGTTTTCATGTGAGATACTGTTATCTTTAAATGAGTAGGATTTAGCTTTTCTGGTGAGAACAAATTCATCAGTGATGAATCCCTGGAGAAAGTATTGAAACAACAATCATACCATTTCTGAGCTTTGTTCAGTTCATCAGTTACAAAGCAGCTTTTGATAGTCCTAAAGAAGTTTTTTCTTTGTTTAAGAAATATAGCATGACGCTCAAAACCTCTCACTTTGGGTTACTGCGGGCTACAACTTTTTCTGTAAGAAAATAATGAATGAAGAGGAAAAGCTCCTGCTGCTGGCTCTGTCAGGCTCTGCTGCCTCTCCTCCTGCAATAGGAAATCAATTAACTATATGTTCAGGCAGAGATTTGAACTAAATGCTTTATTAATCATCACTGATTACGCACATACACAGCGGCCAACTATGCATTCACCTTCACTATTTCTTAGTTTTATTTTGCTTTTTGCTGGTTTTTGTTTATTTGGTTGGTTTTTTTTTTGTTTTTTTTTTGTTTTTTTTTTTGGCAAGATCAGAACAGAAATGTATGCCTAAATGTAGAATATGTAAAGGTGGTCATCTGGTACAGGAGAGAATGGATCTTTTGTATTTTCAGAAAGTTTAACTCTTAAAATGCTCAGTACCCAGATATGGTAGAGGCATCATAATACATCACAGAGTAATTTTTGTAAAAAGCGCTAAACTTTCTCATACTAATTTCCAGAAAGCAAAATCACTATGGCAGCTTTGATGTTTTGGAAGGTGGTACTACACCTCACTTCTAGGATTTCCATATGGCAGTGAGAAGCTACACACAAATGGACCAATTTGACTTGGAGATGAATGGTGGAAGGTTGAGGGGGCCGTCACTGATACCGTGTGTGGGTGTGCTTTCAATTTAAAGAAAGAATTGGCAACAGTTTTCCTTCTTTTCCATTGATTCTTCTAACTAACACACAAAGAAAATCCTATAGGAAACTTTATGTTATATTGAGAGGCTCTCCTTAGGACTAATTATAAAAGAACAGAATGTTATAATGATAGCCCTGTTAGCTATAGAAAGGCAACATAATTTGAACATGTGGTCAACCACTGCAAAAAAAAATTATAGAAAATATCATGCTGGTAGATATTTACTTAGGCTGTATTCTGCTCAGCACCAAGGGATTTTTAAATATTATTATTGTTGTTATTTTTATTACCATCATTGGAACAATTTGAAAGTATCACAGTTTAAAGTTAACTACTTTATTTCTCTCTTTTTGGATAAAGAATAATATAAATGGAAGAAAAAAATCTCCTCTGGTTTATGGTTAAAAGAAGATAGATCAAAAAGGTTCCAGGAATTATTTCTTTTGAATAACATGTATAGAACTCTTAGATGGAGTTAGATTCGGTTGAGTAAGGTAAGACCCAATCAGGGAATCAGAATAATGGTTCAAAGTTTCATTGAGCTTGCCACCACAAGAGACCTGCTAGAAACAGAGGTCACTTGTTTCAACATTTAAGGATGTTTGATAATCTTCAAGAATACAAGATTAGGATTTCGGTGCCCTTGGTATGTAAGAGAAGTGTGGAGAGAGTGATAGTCCAACAAGAACTATGTCATGTGGGGTGCCTGGGTGGCTCAGTCGGTTAGGCATCTGACTTCAGCTCAGGTCATGATCTTGCAGTCTGTGAATTCGAGCCTCACATCCGGCTCTGTGCGGACAGCTCATAGCCTGGTTCCTGCTTCAGATTCTGTGTCTCCCTCTCTGTCTGCCTCTCCCCCACTAGCACTTGTCTCTCTCTCTCCCCCTCCCTCAAAAATCAATAAACATTAAATACTTAAAAAAAACCAACAAAACTATGTCATGTGGACATGCGTTTACCACCTTATGCGGTGTTACCAGAACCCCAGGGGCATTTCTTTGGCATCAAGTATAATCCCTAACACCTCATCTGCCCCAGGAAAAGGTTATTTCATAAGAGGACATTTCAAACAAGCATTATCTTTTCTACATTAAAAGGGCTTACGTATGTGATAAATGCTGTGGATTTATCCTCTTTTATTTTGTGCTAACAAGATGGCATCACATATTTTATGGTAAAATAGATACAGTATATTCTGTCCCTTCATCATATTATTTCATATTTATGAAATAATTAAATATTGTAATTTAGGAAAGCATTGAGGTATAGAGATGAAGTATATAGTTCTAGCTTAATTGTATATAAATTAATTTGGCATTCATAGCATTACTTCCATTTGCTTGACTTGTTGACATAATTATAGCAAATTGATAATGGAAGTAACAATCTTAGATATTTCCACATAAATATGTTCTGCTAATATAAATTTTCAGTGGCAGTTTGGCTGAATTGAAACATGGGTTAAGTTTAGTTTACCTATCCTACTAACATCTCTAAAGGACTGGAGAACTCATTTTCCAGGGGCATTATGCAACCTGGCAAGTGGAGGCCAGTGTTTCAAAACAAGTGTGAATTTTCACCAAAGTATTTTCTTGGTCAGAAATCAGGATGACCTTGGAGTGCTGTAGTTTCCCAAGCCTCCATCAGCTAGATAAATGGGCTTTATTTTGTAAGAGAGAGAGAGAGAGAGAGAGAGAGAGAGAGAGAGAGGAGAAAGGGTGTTTTTACAGTCTTAGAAAAGAGACCTAGCAATTCCAGGTTAGAGGCAGACACGGAACATTTGGGATTCAGTGGTGTCTATCACCAGCATTATGTGTCAGTAAAAGTGAAGATCAAAGGTTCTAGAAGAGGAGAAGGACAAAAGTGGAGAGGAAATAATTGTGGGATAATGAATAGTATGAGGGCATATTCGTGTTAACTTGAAACCACTTAGCATTCTTTCATGACACCCAGGTATCTTTCTAAATGAACTTGGTAAAGTACAGTTGAATAACCTTGAGATTTTAAAGCTCCATGATGTGATTTTGAATACTGATGGAGTTTGTTTAAGCACTATGATATTTCCTCTGCTTTTCATTTCTATTTTTGCCCTCTTCATGCAAAATAAAATTTATTTTCTGTACGGAGAAATCAATACTTTTACCATTTTGTTTTTCAGCTATTCCAGTAAATTGCAATCAACATTAGTTACAGCCTTTAAAGAGAATGTAGTAAGAATTTGAACACAATAAAATAGAGATACAGATTAGAACTTCGGCAAAGTACCTTTGCTATTGACAAAAGCATTTGTCAGGGACTATGGCTGTGTCTATATTGTGCTAAAAACCTGATGAAGAGGAAAAAAGCATCAATAGGTTTTACCTTCTGTCTATATGAACCAAACAAATGGTCTAACTAATAGCTATTGTTTAAAGTGAATGAATTTGGCTTACCATTGTGAACTTTATTCCATTTAGCAATGTATTTTAATTAACATTTGTATATTTAATACATATATACTTAGTAGAGGTGTTCTGCTCTTGAGTTCTTTTTAATAATTAATGGAATCTGAAACCTAGACTAGTGATTCTTGAATAAATGAAGACCTTGTTACAGTATATAAGAAACAATCTCCAAACACATATTTGTTTGTTGATAATATTTATATGTTAATATCCTCATATTTTGCTCTTCCATGAGCTAATATGCTTTCTTATTTGTATGTATTCCTTTTAGAAACTGCCAAGTTTTGGACCTTATCTTGAGCGGCGCAAGGAAATCATAGCAGAGAACAAGATTAGACAGAAAGAACAAAATGCAGCTTTTCCGCCACTTGAGAGAAAGCCTTTTATCCCCCGAAAGCCTATTCCTACCATCAAGGTAAAAATTAAGCTACATATATACTAATTAAATATACAATACAGCTCAGGTGTTTATTTGCTGTTTAAATGTTTCACTTATTTTTTTAAAAATACACTGAAAGTTTTCAAAAATCTACCTATGGTGATAGGAGAGCCTCTTTTGTTTGTACATTTTATACTTTTTAGAGTACTGTCATAACATACGTGTTTCGTGGATATTTCTATATGTATTAAATAGGCCAGGAAATATTAAGGTGAATTCTTTGTCTTCTTATAGTCATTTTAAAATTATCTTCATCTGGGGCGCCTGGGTGGCTCAGTTGGTTAAGTGGCCGACTTCGGCTCAGGTCACGATCTCACAGTCCATGAGTTCGAGCCCCGCGTCAGGCTCTGTGCTGACCGCTCAGAGCCTGGAGCCTGTTTCAGATTCTGTGTCTCCCTCTCTCTCTGACCCTCCCCCGTTCATGCTCTGTCTCTCTCTGTCTCAAAAATAAATAAACGTTAAAAAATAAAATAAAATAAAATAAAATAAAATAAAATAAAATAAAATTATCTTCATCTACAATTAAATCCAAGAGATATGTTAGCCATACAATACAACTGAATGATTAATATGCAATGTAATATCAATTTGGACAAATTTTGTCTAGTTCAATCTCTGGAAAGCCTGTACAAATGGGGTCTCAAGAGATTAGTTTCTGACTAACAGCAAGAATTATCATTAAAGTAGAATTGTGGGTGTATTTGTATGTTTTCCTTTTAGAAACTGCCCAAGTTTTGGACCTTATCTTGAGCAGCACAAGGAATTCATAGCAGAGAAGAAGATTAGACAGAAAGAACAAAATGTAGCTTTGAACTTCTTATTTTGAGAGAGAGGCAGATTCACATACTATCGTCATAAGAAATAATACAGAAGGGTCTTGTTTAACCTTTACTCAGTTTCCCCAATGGTAACATGTTGTGGGTATCACAACCAGGATAATGACACAGATAAAATCTACTGATCTTATTCAGATTTTTTAAATTCCTTATTTGTGTGTGCATGTCTGTATGTGTGCATCAGTGTGTTTACTTCTGTGTAATTCCACCACACGTGTAGATTCCTCTTTCAACCACCACGGTTCAGATACAAGATGTCCATCACTACAGAGATTGCCCTGTCATACCACACTTACTTCCTTCCTGCCCACTTTGCCCAAGATGAAATTGTCTTAATGAAAGAAAAGGGAGTGTTATAGGAATTACAGGACCACATTCCCTCTGAAATCACCATCACTGAATGTGGCTTCAGTTACTGAAACTTTTCTTCCATATTTAATGACAATATACTCCTACATTTCCATTTTCTGTTTGAGGCATCAGCTGGAAAGCTTTTTCTCAGGACCTCTCAGGGGAACCTCCCAGAAATTCATCTTTAGTTGTCAGCTGGGAATTGGAACACTTAAAAATTCCCTCTACCTCAGAAAGAGAGAGAGAGAGAGAGAGAAATATGTCCTATGTCAAACACAGAGGGGTTTACACTCGCTCTTACAAAATTTAGGTGATTCAAAGTTCTGAAAGGAAATACAGAAGTACACGAACACAAATTCTACCAGCACTTCAATACCATAATTCCAAATAAAGTGAATGCTTGGGACATTTAACAGCAGAATATCCCCATATACTCCTTAAGCTGTTTCCTTTGCATTATTTGTGTGCTACTAAAAGAATGAACTAGACACTGATGATAGAGAGAAGACCAGATCCTTCAGCTCTTCAGAAGCTTCCCCCTCCCTGTGTTTGGCTATGATTATTATATGATTTGGGGTTAAGTGAGAATTGTCCCACTTCTGTCTCTCTTCTAAATTAATTTGAATTAAATGTAAGAAATCATCTCTTCCTTATGTATAAAAAATCAAAAGAAATATATTATTTATATTTGAGAGAAAAGAAGTGCAAGGTGATTATGAAAACATTTTGACCTTTTCTAGCCTTCTATTCCTTCAGGGAATATAGTGATAACCTAGAAGCAAGACAAAAACAGAACAAAGAAAAAAACTTATTATAGTTGAATTCAAGCTGATCAATCACTAATCCAAATAAAATATCAAACTCAGCAGAATTAAATAAACCAAAGAAATGGGAAGTCAGGAAAGTAAGTAAATATTTTTTTAGTATCCAGGAGGAATAAGGAGTATTATTAAAAACAGTACAGGTTTATATTCCTCTCCTAAGTTTATTTATTTTAGGTTATCCAAATTAAAGTATCCCTGGTGTTCATTGCATAAGCTTTAAGACATGGTAGATACCATCTTCCCAGCATCTAAGACCATAATAGCGCTCGTGTAATAAAGGACTGCCATGGTAGATTTTCCCAATGTCCAATGGATTTTCCACTACCTTGGCTTCTCCTCAGGGTATCATACCCATTCTACCTGTTGTCATTTCTAGGAAGATGGTGTGACCTTTCAAGTAACATAATGGTGGAGTGCCTGAGTGGTTCAGTCGGTTAAGTGGCCAACTCATGATGTTGGCTCAAGTCATGATCTCACAGTTGTGACATAGAGCCCGCGTTGGGCTCCAAGCTCATTATGGAGCCTACTTGGGATTCTCTCTACCTCTCTCTCTGCCCCTCCCCTGCTCTCTCTCTCTCTCTCTCTCTCTCTCTCTCTCAGAATTAATGAATAAACATTTTTTCAAAAACCACAATGGTAGCTGATAATTGTGGGTTGGTCTTTTTTGTTTGTTTTGTTGAGGATAGCATTTTCACTAGTTATAAAAGCAACTATCTTTTTGGAAAGTGAGGAATTACATTTGTTAAAATAATGACTTCTCACTTTATCTTGTTTTCTATAAGGCTTCCTATACTGTAGTGGGAGCATATGTTTTACAGGAAGAAGGAAGATACAGAGATCTGTTCCTGTCCCCAGAGAGATCCCCAGTTTCAGATGACTCCTGACTTCTAGAGTCATGATATTGTGTGTGTATGTGAATGTATGACTGTATTTTTAGTTATATCATTCATCCTCCAATATTCTAGTATGGTTTACTAATGTAGGAGAGAAAGTTTATCTCCTGGAAGCATCCATGGAAGCATGTGGCAACGAGTAGCTCTAATGTGCCTATAATGTTCCAAATGCTATACATGTTTTATCTCATTTAATCTTCACAATACCTGGGATAGATACTATCTCTATATTCATTTTACAGATAATAAAATTGAGGAATAATGAAAAATTAAATAATTTTGCCAAGTCACATAGTAATTATTGGTAGAATGGGTGATGGAAATGAAACTGAGAATAGCTGGGTTAGGATATTCAAAAGATTGACTTATAATAGGAACTATAAAAGTTTGGATCCATTCTAGAAAATGTATGGAATATTCCTAGATTTAGATCATGAAAGATGAACATCAACATGGAATAATGAGAACATTTAGTAAAGGAATTTTAAGCACATGCATTTTGTCATAGTTGTATTACTAATCACTTGAGTGAGGGAAAATATGAAATAGGAGACCTATAAAATGAGACTACTGGGCAAAGAAGTTAAATTCCCCTCCCCAACACTCTGTAGTTTCATTTGTTTAGTTTTTTCTAATGTTACATCACAAAGATGAATATAAAAATTGCCCCCAAGCCTACTTAATCATTATTAAAATTTAGATTTATAAAATTCTAGTCCTTCTTATATCTAAATATAATATATTAAAATAAACATGGAATGTTCTTATATTTTACATAAAAACTTCACAATAATTTATATAGCACTTTTATATCAAAATAATGTTTTAATATTTTACAATTTTTTTAACATTTATTTATTATTGAGAGACAGAGAGAGACAGAGCATGAGTGGGGGGTGGGGGCAGAGAGAGAGGGAGACACAGAATCTGAAGCAGGCCCCAGGCTCCGAGCTATCAACACAGAGCCCGACGCGGGGCTTGAACACACGAACTGCAAGATCATGACCTGAGCTGAAGTCGGACGCTTAACTGACTGAGCCACCCAGGCGCCCCAATAATATTTTATAATATAAATTTACTGTTAATTTTTTGGAAGTAACCTGTTAGAGCCTAGAGGGCACCATGCTGCTCCTGGAGAGAAGGCAGGTTAACAACCTGGAAGCAGACATCATGGAAACAGATCTGAAAAACACCTGGGACACACAGAGGGGGAGATTACTTGCTCCTCTCAGAGTACTTCCCTGAGAGCAGCAAGCATGGAGACTCCTCTCTGGGGACAAAGGAGCTGGCTGGTGCCATTTCCCTCCCCTGCCCCTCAGTATAAACACAGAACCACCTGCAGTACACAGCACAGTGCCAACATTGGCTGCCTAAATTGCTTACATCAGGTCCTACTCCCCCGTGCTCTGCAAGTACCACCCTTCTTGGTCAAGTTCATCTTAGTCCCAGTGCGGTGGGCCCAGCAGAAACCCCTGGCCACACCATGTCTCCCAACCAAAGAGTTCTGCAGAGTTTCAATTCTAGTGGAAGTAGTATCAGGTTTCATTTAACGAGCAGACCAGAATGTACCCAGTTAAAACACACCACACTCTGGTCAAGAACCAAACACTGCCCACTTCAGGCAAGGAGAACCTTGGCAGATGACTGATCTGAAGGATAGAACAGCCAAAACACAACAACAGAGCACACACGAGACACTTGTTGAAGCGCCAGGCCCTGGACACTTCATGACCTCTTCTTCATAAAGCCATTACTCTCAGAAGCAGGAAACATAGCAGGCTTTTCTAACACAGAGAAGAAGGCAGAGACTTAGACAAAATGCCAAGGTGGAGGAACTCATCCCAAAAGAAAGAACAAGAAAAGGTCATGGCAAGGGATCTAATCAAAATAGATATATATGCCTGATGGAGAATTTAAAGAAACAATCATAAGGATACTCACTGGGCTTGAGCAAAGAATAGAAGAAGACATCAGGAAGGCCCTTACCACACAGATAAAAGAGTTAAAAAACAGTTAGAAATGAAAAATGCAATAACTGAGATTCAAAATAGACTCAGTGCAATGAACACAAG